AGCGCTTATTCGGGGTTTGGGGCAGTGAGAGTTGGCCACGCCTTGGCAGGTTGAACCTGTCCCGGTGAATGAGTCCAAGCGAGGAAGCTAATGCTGATGGGTCAATATTGCCCTGAAAATACAAGTCTCCTCGGAAGAGCTCTATTCACATGGTCGGTATGTGAGAGCAGGCTCTGCTCAGTGCAGGGCGCTAGACAGAACCCATAGCTGAAAAAACCCACACCCTGAAAATAGATCCAGAATCTCCCCAGCTCAGCCTGGGCTGACAGCAGCTCGGTCGGTGAGCCTTTAAGACGAAGCCCTTCCTTCCTTCCTCTTATTTGAGGACACTCTGCAGGTTCCAAGTCTGCTATCTGGGTAGCAGCTGAGGTGGGAGCAGACAGGTGAACATATAAATAATAATAACAACAGAAAATTTAGATCGCATTTTTGTACCGGCTGCTTTGTAAAAACTCTTTTATATACATGCTGTCCATTTCATCTCCCAGACCATGAGGCGTTGGTCCTGCTTTTATACTCGTGAAATTCGGGAGGTGAGGGAACCAGCCCGAGATCACCGCCCCACTGGTGAGCCACAGAGACCTGAAGTGGAGATTGTTTGCTGGCAGAGCCTAGTGGGCTCCCCGGGAGCGGACTGCATCATCCTGTGAGGAAGAGCCAAGAGATGAAATATTTATTTACACCACGTGGGGTGAGGGGAGGTATCATAGGAGCTCTGGTGTAGATAGAGGCGGGGGTGAGGTGCTGAGTCCTAAGGGTAGAAACTCAGCTCTTGTTCCCCTTGGACTACAAAGTGACCCATTGTTAACCTAGAACGTTTTCCATTTAATCCCTCATGGTCCTGTGCCCCTGATATGATAAATGCAGGCACTTGGGCCAGGGCACTGCCTGGGAAGCCTGTTCAATTGCATTAGCTTCTGGCAGCACTAGAGGGAGACACCAGCCATGGCGTCCGCCTCTTCTTCCCACCGCTCGCTCCCTGGGAGAGGGTGATTCAGCACCATGTCAGAAGCAGGCTAGACTGCGGACTGCCAGGAGCGAGACAGAGGCTGTCAGCACCAGCTTAGGTCCAGGAACTGGAGCAAGGGGGTCCGGAGGTAGCAGAGGATGGAGATTGAAGGGGCTCAGGAGGGAGTCTTGAGTTGTTAGGAGAACTGGACCTACCCAGGCCCTGCTGCCCTGCCTGGGCCAGGAGTGGTGATAGGCCAGTGGGATGTGAGTCCTTTGTCCCTTTGCCCTAGTTAGTACGTAAGAGCTGTAGGAGTCCAGCCCCTGAATACCTAAACTACCTCACAGCTTGTTCAGCAGCTAAAAATACAAAATTGCTTTGCTAAGAGATGCCCAACCGGAAAACCCCCGAGAGGTTTCCTATTAGGGCAGCTGCTGGGCTGGAGGCCAGACGCCCGGTGAAGGGTTCCTGTGCTTGCTTTTCCCACCGATCTCTCACAGACTGGCCGCCCCCAGCCAGGCCAACCCCAGCCAGGCCCTTCTCGCCCACAGTGATCAGTCCGGACCCAAAGCTGTCACAACCTAGCCTTCTTTCCTCTATGCCTGTTGCTTCAGGGAGTGGTTGTGTTTGGAGATTTGCCTTAAATCCAAACAAGGCCTGGCTTAATTCTCCACACTCAGCCCAGCCCACCCACTCACCATGTGGCCTAAAGCATGTTGCCTTAGTCTCTCTCGGCTTTACTTACCTCACCTGCAAATGGGAGAGATCCCACCTACCTGCCTGGTGTGGAAGGCTTTGGTGGGAAAGTTACGCCTAGGGATTTATCACGAAATGTCCTCAGTGCAGCAAGCACGTTGTTCTTACTTAGCATAAATGTATGATAAGAATGGGGACCAGATACTGTGATTATGGTGACAGGGAAGGAGCCCCCTCTTGATACCAACCCTGACCGCCTATCAGGATTGTGGGGGTTGGGAGCTTATTGGAGAGGCAGGCAATATAGCAGGGTGGGCCCTGAGTCTGGATTTTTAACCAGCTCTGAAAGAAAGTCACTGAGGATTCTCCGACTGAGCATCTCAGAAAGGAGCCCAACACCCAAGCAAGACCCAGTTCCCTGGGAATTACACCTCAGTGCAGAAATGCCCTCAAGTGTGTCAGACATGTAGGACGTGTAGGACAGGGATCAGGTCTGTTGTTCAGAGGGTCGCTGTGAGTCATACTGGACTCAGCTGGAACTAACCACATGCTCCTATGAAAGGATGCAGTTTAAATCTACCAGCTGGAGTGAAATATCTCAGTCACAAAAGGACAAATACTGCATAGTGCCACTGTTGTAAAACAGGACTGATGTCGGGGTTGGGGGGAACCTATGAAAAGAGGGGATAAATAATGTATACTGCATCGAAACAGATGAGGGAGAGAACTGTTTAAAAGGAATATAGGATTAAGTATTATTTTCATGACAAGATTACAGAAGAAGAAATGCAAAGTAAAGTGGAAAGTGGACTGGGGGGGATTGTATAACAATGAAAGAAATTTTTTTTTTCTCCAAAGAGAAAAATGAACTGGAGGGAGAGATGGGCAGGAAGAAAATGTGCAACAATGAATGGGGGGAAATTAAATGAAAAGAATATGCTGTAAAAAAATATATATGTTGCATTAAAAATCATTAATAAAAACAGTTAATTTTAAAAAAAGTCTACCAGCTGCTTCTCAGGAGAAGATGAGCCGTCTCCTCCTGTGCAGCTTCTGAAAACCTGCTGGAGGGTCAACTGTAGGTTGGTTCCAGCTCAACGGTACTCAGCAACAACGTGTTCCTGTGCCACAGGGACTGTGTGTGAGCCCCTGCCACTGACTGAGGGAGAAGGCGGCCTCACTACAAAGCCACCCCCTGTCTGGGCACAATGGTGGTGCAGGGGAGGGTGGCTCCATTCCCACCCTGCCCCCACAGCCTGGGTCTCTCTCTGAAAAAAATTTTAAAAGCCCAAGAAACAAATTCCCTCCAAGGTGTGAAAAGTCTTCTAGGCAGGACCTTCTCTCCACGAGCTGAGCTTAAGGGAGACACACACTCCCTAGTCTCCCTTGCTGCCCACAGAACAGTAAGCACGTCCTTGCCAAGGTCCCCGTAGAGTGATGCGAATGCAACAAACAAAATGGACCTTCCCCTCTCCTTGGAGGGAATCATCTCTGCTGCACCTCTCCCCACTCCTTGGGGTTTTCACCCCTTTGGGTGTGGTTTATAAACCCCTGAAAGCTCACAGCTGCCCTCCAGACAGGTAACATTGAGTTTTGGCTGATCCTCTGTTTCCTCATCTATGAAACGGGGCTGTAATAGGACTTTCCTTTCAGTGTGGGCCCAGGGACTGAAGAAGACATGGATTATTACATGGGATTTCTCAAGGAGGAAAGGGCTTGTATATCAGAAATACAGGTTCCAGGACCTATTCCACTTCATTGGCTTCTAACCCCAAACTTTGGGAAACAAATGAGAGCCTAGGAGAGGTGAACCCTTCATCTTTGCAGCTTAATTCCCTTGGAACGTAACAGCTTTGAAACCCAGGCCACCCTAGACCTCCAATATGTGAATCTTGGCTGACTCTCCTTTACTTATGAACTTGCCTCTTTCCCTCCTTGAGACCCCTGTGGCCAGACGGCAGAGTTCACTGCCTGTTCACATAGGCCATAGATGAGTGCCTGGTGAAATGGAAGAGACTTCCCAGAGGCTCTAGAGCTATCCGGTCAGCCCCTCCTGTTCCCTGAGGGCTTACAAGAATTTCTGGCAGTGAGTGAGAGGCTCAGGTTAAGGGAGTGGGTTCACCTTTCTTAATCTCCTGAGGATAGATGGATGATAGGTGGGAGGTAGGTGAGGAGAGGTCAAAGGCAGGATCAAGATCATGTGGGTAGGTGGGTCCAGGATTTGGGAAATAGGGTTGTTCTTTGTTGTTATTGTTTTTAGGTATGGTGAGTCCACTATGACTCTGAGAGACCCTACAAACAATAGAGTCGGACCCTGTCCTGTCCTGTGCTGTTCTCATCATCGCTGACACACTCAAGCCCATGGTTACAGTCACTGCGTCTGTCAGTCTGTCTCACTGAGGGTCTTCCTCGCTTTTCCTGACAGCCCTACCTTTCAATCATGATATCCATTTCCTCTCCTCGCAACATTCCTGTCTTCTCAGATGATTTACTCAGCATATAGATGGGATAGGTATGGAAAGAGGATACACCCTTGACACACCCCTGATTTTAAACTATACGGGTCAAAGTTTTTCCAATCACTTGGACAGCGAATAAGGATGATGGAAGAAAAGTTGATGCATTTGAATTGTCCTGTTGGAGAAGAGTGAAAAATATCCCATGGACTGCCAAAGAACAAGTAAACATGTGTTGGAGAAAGTGCAGCCAGAATGTTCCTTGGAGGCAAAGTTGACATTACTACCATTGATTCTCCCCAGGAGATGCTAATTAGCAGCGCAACTCCCCACAGACCATTCCACCAAAGCCCCCCCTCCACTTTAATCAAAGAATCGTACAAATCTGTGACTGTGGGGAGACATCTCTGAGTGATAATGCTTATATGAGGGGAGGGTTGGGGGGAATGCACTCACCTGCCTTTTTTCAGGCTTTTTAAAGCCTGAGAGGGGCGAACTGTGCCAAGAATTGGAGGGAGGACGGGGAGCTGGCACAAAGCAAGTTTTAGCGATCACCCTGCATATGGGGGTCCTCAGTTTCCCTGTTTGCAAAGTGCGTAAGAAGCCTTCCCGACTGTGCGGTCTGGGGGAGCGTGGCCTGGGTGGTCCCGGCGGGGTCGGGGCCAGAGTTCCTCACCTGGGGGGCGGGGCGGGCGGCGCGGAGGCAGGGCCGTGGCGGGGCGGACCTGAGCGGCGGGAGGCGGAGTCGGTGCGCAGTGCTTGTGTTTGCGGAGTCGGAAAAGCGCGGAGGCCGGGCCGGGAATCACAGAGCAGCACACTGAGAGCGGACCCTGCAGCCGCAGCCCCGCGAGCCCCTCGGATCTACTAACCATGTCGATCTTCTGTTGCTTCTTTTTCAGGAACTATGTCAGTTCCAAGAGGAAATCAGGTAAGGGAGCCTCCGGCGTCCTCTCCTCGCGCTTTCCTCCTTCCCGTCGCGCGCACGCGTCCCTCCGCAAGCCTGTCTGCGTCTCTGCAGTGGACTTTTTGGAGGGGGTGGTCTTGGCCGCCCGCGCCCCCTTCACTTGTCGCCCTCTCTTTCCCAGCTCGTGCGTGTCCCTGAGACCTTTAGAACTTGCACCTGCATGTCCTCTGCCCCCCTCCCCCAGTGCCGCAGACCCCTGTGCCCCCGTGGGAATGCGGGTGGGTGCATGTGGCATGAGGGGCTTTCCTGAAGGATCTGAGCCCCCCCCCCCCAGCGCTGTCAGCTGGATCTTTGACCCCCACATTGCGGTGGCCACTGACAGGCTCTCCTATGACTTCTCCTTGAGTCCTTCCCACGGGGCGGCGCAGTGTTGAAGGGTAGATAGAGGCCGAGGGTCTTCTTCGGGGAAGGGAGAGCCAGCGGGGCTGCGCAGAGTGACGGCGAGTTTTGAGAACCTGGGCTGCAGACCTGCATCCTCTCCCACCCTCTCCCAGCTCTAAGCTTGTCCTTCTGGCTGCAGGGAGGGGTGGGGGGAAGGCTCTGCATAGTGGCCAGCTGAGTCGCGAGATGGGAGGGGAGACTGGCCAGGCCTGGCATTTGCCTGACAGGTGCCTGAGCCCACCCGGAGTTTGGGAAAACCGAGGAGACAGGGCAAGGCAGGGCAGGGCAGTGGACACTGTGTGCTGGGCGATGTCAGCTGGAGTCAGGATTCTCCCTGGGTGGGAGAGGTTGGCCTCCAAAAAACCCCGGTTGGGTTATGGACCTGTGGAGTTTATTGGGGGGAGGGGGGAGGAATACACCCTGGGAATTAGGGCTCCTTCTGGTGGTGCATGAAAGGCACAGCCACTGGAGGGTCTGAGTTGACATCTGTATTGCTTGTGTTTATGAGGGTGCCCAGGACATACAGTAGCCTTCTGAAAGCCTGGCCCTTTAAGGGCAGGAGGAATATGTATAAGTGCATGGCCCATTGATAAAGGTCATGGTTGAGGCTATATCCTATCCAGGTGCCTTGGCCATATGTGCCCACGTGGGTTGGATGGGATGTGAATTGAAGTAGGTGTTATGATACAGAATGTATATGTTTCTGAGTATTAATTCATAGGTGTTTTTGCTTGTTGTGTCTTAGTATTAACATGCTTATTTTCGTATCTGTGGGACATGGGTTGTGTGTGTACGTGTGCTCTGTGTATGTGCATACTGGAGTCTTGACAGTTGTGTGCTGCAGTGTCTGTACTTGCTTGGGGGACATAGCTTTGGGTTGTGTATGCCAGTGGTTGGAGTCTGTGTTCCTCTGTGTTTGTGTGCTTGCTTGGAGTTTATCTACTGTGGGTGAGACTTGTGTGTCCACATGACTGTGGGCTGACGTGGCCCATCAACTCGAGGCCTCAGCATCCCAGGTGGAAGACTTTGTGTGGTCTGGGTCTTTTGTCAGACCTCCCCTACCCAGTCCAGCCCCTGCCTATTTCTTTTTCCCCAACCCCAGAGATCTTGTCATCTCTCAGACCATAAATGGACAGAGACAAAACTGGGTTTATCTTCCATCATAATTACCTTTTCCCCAAGAAACTTAACCCTGAGCCTCAAGTGTCATGGTTGAGCCTGGGTCTGATCCCATCCATGTGTTATCTTGAATAAGTTTCATAAATTCTCCATGCCTCAGTTTCCCCGTCTGTAAAATAGGGATATAACAATATCTCCTACACATGTAGAAGACAATTAGAAACAGTCCTTAGCGTGGAACTGTTGATATTTCTAGTCAATATCATCATCATTATTTTTTGCAGCCTTGGGATCTAGTCCTAATTCCCCTGCTAATTTGTTCCCAGTGTGACCCTTGGATGTGTCCCTTCTCTCAGTTGCCCCCTGTCAGGCCAAGGACAGAAACAGATCACTTCTTAGTTTACTTGCCTCCCATCACCATCTCCGAAGCTCTGGATCTGACTGCTTCCTAAGCAAAAACAGGGCCCCACCCAGCAGCCTCACTCTGGGAGAGCCTCCCCCAGATCCTCTGCCTCCCATGCTCAAGCCAGGAAAGGGACGGATAGAGAAATTTAATTAATGTTGGGTTGCTTATGGTAATAGCCACTTAGAGACAATGTACAAGAGCCAGCTCTGGAACCAGACAGCAGGATTCAGAGCCTGCCTTCTCTCCTCTCTGACCATGGACCAGTTTCTCACCCTTCTCTATGTCTCTTTCATCTGTGAATTGGAGATAATGTTCCCTTCTATCTTCTAGGGTTGTCATGAAGATTATGTAAACTCATTTATGGAAGCATGCTTAGAAGTGTTTGCCACCTAGAAACCCCCTCAGTGCTGGCTCCTGTTACCATTTACTGAGCATCTGCTATATGCTAGACCTTTACATGTTTTCTCATGTGCTACATGGAGTCACGTTACACAGTGGTTGGTGAGATTCTCTTCTTACAAATGGAGAACTGAGGTCTGGAGAGGATGTGTGGCCGTGGTTTGCAGCAGGGTGCATTTGCCCTGCTCTTTGGTGAGAGGGTACATGAAGCTTCCTGGGATGACCCCAGCCAGGGACTCTGACACAGAGAAAATAGATACCGTGCCTTGGTCGTCATTTACCAAGTACAGAAGTAAGGCTTGAACCTAGGCTAAGAGGACAAGAGGTAGAGTAATAACAGGAGAAAAGGATCCTTGTGTTCAGGCAGCTAGCTCATAGTTTAAATGGGGAGGTAAGATTGGTGACCCTGGAAACTGGAAGACAGAATGGCCTCAAGTTGTCGCTTCCTTCCTCCAGTCTCAGTAATGACACCATCTACTGACTGTTCAAGCCTCATTTCTAAAAGTCTTATCTTTGATTTCTTCCCTTTCTCACCTGCCACCTTGACCTCCAGATTAGGCCACTTCTTTCCACCTCCATCATTATATCCTGGAAGGAGCCCCCTCAGCTCTCCAGGAAGACCCCTCAGCTTCCTTCCTGATTTCTGCTACTACCCTTGTCATTCTCACAGCTTGAATCAGCTCTTAAAAGTATATGTCAAATAATTCACTTCAACTCGCATTCCCATCAAGGACATTCCATTACTTGGAAGACACTCTTTATTCCTGTGTGATTTGACTCCTGCATGTTAATTAGCCGAGACCAGGATGGAAAGGGCTGTCTGACATTGGCTCACACCCATCTCCTCTTCCAGCCACACGTATCTCCTTTTATTCCTTAAACAGATCAAACATAGTTCTAACACACAACATTTGTGTTTGCTGTTTCCTCTGCCTGGAATGTATTCCCCAGTCTTGCACAAGACTGGCTTCTTTTTTAAAAAAATTTTTTTTCATTAAGATTTTAGTTTTTTGTTGCGGTTTTTTTGTTTGCATTTGGAGTTTTATTTTTTTGGTGGGGTTTTTTGTTGGTTTTTTTTTACACTTTATATTGATTTGGTTACAAAGTTCGTATACATTGTGTTTCACACTATTCTTCATTCACATTGTGTTTCATGCAATCATTCCCATGCATTGTGTTTTATAAAATTAATCACCATTGGACCATGCCCACCCTTACCCTATCTTTTCAGGTCCTCACTGGATCATTCCCATTTCCTTCACCCGCTCCCTCCACCCACCAAATTGTGCAACTCTATGGTTTTGCCCTTACCCATCCTCACCCCTCTGCTCTCATCCCATCCCGTATAGGTCCCCATACATATTTTACTCGTTATCCTTCTCTTTTTATAATATTTTTTGTGTGTGTGCAGTATTTGCCTTTATAAGACTGAGTGAGTTCACTCAGCATAATACTCTCCAATCTCTCCCAAGTTATATGTTTTTAAAAATTCTTGCTCCTGAGTGCTGCGTAGTATTCCGTTGTGTGAAATACCACAATTTCTCAATCCATTCTGGCTGCTTCTTAAGATTTTTGCTTGTCACCTTCTCAAAGGAATGGCCCTGATTCTCACATACTCGCTACCCCCTCAAGTTATCCCGCTTCTTCCCTGCCCATCTGCTGTCACGTTCTAATTACTCTGTGTGTCATCTTGTTTTTTGTCAATCTCTGAGATGCCAACTTTTAAAAAACATATTTTTGCTGAAAAACTGCATCAATACTAATGCCCACTCTTACTTGGTGATACCCACTCATGCTTGCTAAGTGGATGGATGAATGGATGGATGGATAGAAGAATGTGTGCATGCATGAATGGATAGATGGTCACTTGTCATAACTGTGCTGTAAGTTAGGAAAGAGCTCACTTGCTGGTTCAAATCTAAAGGCAGATACTGGAAAGAGGAGTCTTTCTGGCTCCTGGATGATCCAGTGAGCACATGACCAAAGTTGAGGAGCAGGACCCAGTATTTTAGAGACGTTGCTTCAGCTAACCATGTTAGAGAGCAACAGCCCTCTGTCAGCCACTGTTACAGTATTGAGGTTGCATTGTTGTGTATAGTCCAGTCGGAACCGATCCATAGCTGACCCTCTGGTGGGTTTTCAGAGGCAGTTAATCGCATAGGAAGAGATTGCCCATCCTGTGGAGCATCTGGTGGATTCCAGCTGCTGCCTGCGGGATTACAGCATAGCATCTTGCTACTAAGCAACCAGAGCTCCCTACTGAGGTTATAGGAATGTGTATTCCTTCACTCCAGGAGTTTGCAGTCTGCTCAGTGAGATAGATTGACAACAGTGGCTGCCGCAATGGGCTCCAGTGTGGCGGAGATCATAAGGATGGTACAAGATAACTCGAGTGAGGTTTCACCTGTTGTTTGTAGGGTGGATCAACTGGACGGCACCCACACCAACAACGGGTAATGAAGGCTTAGTGAGGAGGAGTAGAGGAAGGCACTTGATCACGGTCGTAAGTCCAGGAGAGTACTGGCTGAGGCAGACTGACCACGAATGTGAAGGGCACCTGATGGACGCAGCCAGACAAGAGGGAGGAAAGCATGCCAGCTTTACACATCTCTTCATCTTTTTTTTTTTTCTATAATTATATTTTATTAATTTTCATAAA